TGACATATCGTCTTATTATTGTGATTATTTGTGCAAAGTATTTTTAAAATCCCTTGATCTATGAAAACACAAAATATACCCTATAACAGACTATGTAAATCTTTGACCTCTACATGTGACCTTGACCTTGGAGATAGGGACAATGGTGTTACGTATGACATATCATCTTATCATTGTGACTATTTGTGCCCAGTATTTCCAAATCCCTTGAACTATGAAGAAGTTATGGACGGGACACAAAATATACCATATAACAGACTCTGTTAACTTTTGACCTCTAAGTGTGAACTATGAAGAAGTTCTAGATCAGACACAATATATACCTTTTAACAGACTATGTTTATTTTTGACCTCGAAATGTGACCTTGACCTTGGAGGTAGGGATGCATGTATTGCGCATGACACATCGTCTTATTATAGTGACTATTTGTGCCAAGTAATTTCAAAATCGTTTGATATATGAAAAAGTTATGGACCGGACACAAAATATACCCTATAACAGACTATGTTAATCTTTGAGCTCCAAGTGTGACCTTGACATTGGAGGTAGGTGACCGATTGTTGTGCATGACTCATTGTCTCATTGTTGTAAACAATTGTGGCAAGTATTTACAAAATCCCTTCAAAGATAAGAAAGTTATAAACCGGACACGGCATATACCCTCAAATAGACAATGTTGACCTTGAATGAGCAAGTGCGACCTTGACCCTGGAGGAAAGGGTCTGGTTGTTGCGCGTTACACATTGTTTTATCATAACAAACATTTGTGCCAAGTTATTTCAAATTCCTTTGATAAATGACAAAACATGGCCGAGTGGTTAACGCTTCGGACTAGTAATCTTATGATCGCTAGCAGCATGGGTTCAAACCCTGACAGGGGCAAGTCGTTGTTTCCTTGAGCAAGAAAGAAACTTTACACTCATTGCTCAGTACTGGTTGGTTCCAGGAACGGATTCGAAAGTGTGTTTATAAGCTAATAGCTTCCTACACAATCGAACTAAAATAAATTTTGTATAAACCAAATGACAAAGTTGTGAACCGGACACAAAATATACCCTGTAACAGACTATGTTAATATTTGACCTCGAAGTGTGACCTTGACCTTTGAGGTAGGTGACTTTGAGGTAGGTGCGCATGACACATCTCATTATTTTGAGCAATTGTGTCAAGTATTTACAAAATCCCTTCAACGATAAAAAAAGTTATGGACCGGACACGACATATACCCTCAAATAGACAATTTGACCTTGAATGACCTTGACCCTAGAGGTAGGGGTCTGATTGGTGCGCATGGCACATCGTCTTATTATAACAAACATTTGTGCCAAGTTATTTCAGATTTCTTTAATGACAAAGTTATGGACAGGACACGAAAGTGTGACGGACGGACGTTCTAACAGGAGAGTAATAATGTGGCTACTCTATTGTTCTCTCTATTGTTCTTTTTAGCCACGCAAAAGAAAATAGCCACATAAAAGCATTACGGAATGATTGACATCAAAGAGAAAGAACAGTTACATATTGTCCCTCTAGCCACATAATTACTGTCCTGTGAGTGCGGACAGACAGGCGGACGGACGGACAGACAGACATTTCTATAGCCCCCTTTTAACTTCGAAAAGGCGGGGGACAACAAATGTGACATTAATAGACTACTTTTAATATAAAATTAGGCAAAGCCCATGAACAGGAAAGTCCGTTAAATAATCGTTAATTTTTCCGTTTTAAAGGTGCCATTCGGGTTTTTATTCACTGCTTCCGTTTCTACTCGGAACACTCGACGAGTATTATTAATCCGAAAAAGTTGCTATTGGCAGCAATAGCAACTACTCGGCCCTTTCCGTCAGTCTTCGGATAAGGACCTCGAACACAATAGTATGAATACACAGAACGGATGCGGTATTTCGGTCAAACCTACGCTAAGAAACTACACATGTAAACAAATAGTAATTTAATGCTGGGAGTTGTTGACAAGTTTATTTCCAATATATGTAGTAAAAATCCACATAAAATAAATGAATTCATAGGTACAAAAGCGAACAATACATTATTTATATATTTATTATTATGGCTGTATAAACCGAAAGTGCAAAAAAACAACCTTTTGACATTTAGTCGGATTTTTTTAAATTTGAACATCAGTGGGATTTTTTTAAATTACAAATTGTTGTCAGACATATTTTCAAGCATAAGAGTACCGGAACAGACATTAGATGTCAAATATATACATTCGTTTTACATTATCTCTGTTTCTGTTTACATCTGAAACCACGTGGTAGAACTACTTTCAATCCGTATTGTTTCCGAGGTTTTTATAGATAATAGCCGAGACAGTTCCGAATGTATTGGCAACACACCACACTAATTGAAGCCATTCGAATGGCCAGGATTTCTTAAATATAGTGACTATTGTGTTTTTAAATGACCGATTGTCTTTAACGTGCATTTTTAGCATGAGATTTGTTTTTGTGACATCTAATATGATCCTTGGCGAATTCGAAAACATGGTTATATATGTCATAACATTGCAAATAGATTTGTTTTTGTGTCATCTAATATGATCCTTGGCGAATTCGAAAACATGGTTATATATGTCATAACATTGCAAATCTATAATGAAATCATCCCATGTGCAACAGTCAGGCAGTTAAAAAAATCCAATTCATTCCGTAAAAATCACATGCTGTTAATTATAGATGTCAAGGCCGCCATTGTTTGTAAACATTGCTTTTAAACAGCATGCTCGGTGAAAACAAGTAATTTTTACAGGTAGCAATAGCAAAAAACCTACAAGGCCAAGCACCTATTTCTTTGTGATATTTTGCATGTATAGGGAGTTGCTAAAGCAGTGACAGAGTTTCTATAGCCCGTATATTTGCAGGTATGTTCTGTCAGAGGGTCGAATTATGTTGTTTTGGGTCTCGGACCACTGTAGATTTTTTGGCTTTTACGGAATGAATTGGATTTTTTAACTGCCTGACTGTTGCACATGGGATGATTTCATTATAGATTTGCAATGTTATGACATATATGTTCTTAACAAAATGTGTTTTCTTTTTCCAGGTTGTGTAGTTTTGGATCAGATTTATTGCTTGTAGGACATTGACGGCAGAAACTTGAAATTTAGTGTGGAGTGCTACCTTAATGTTCCGTTATCGAAATACCCGTCTATTATCATTGAGTTACATTGAAAATGGCGGCACCCAACTAGAACTACTAGAACTGACACTGAAAATTTCATAGATTTAAATTTAGGTAGGTATAAAATTCTATATATTTTTTTTTTATTTTTTTTTTTTATTTGATTTTCTTTTAAGTATACATGTGTAAGTCTATAGCCGGGCAAGCCTAAGCCTGGGCCTTTGACTTCCCTTTAATAATATGCGAAGATGAGATATCATGCAGATCAAGCAAACTCAGCAACAATTAAGCGCGAAAAAAGAAGCACGGAAAGAAGATGGCGGAAGATGAGCGCTGTCCAAACAAATGTTATTCAAAGTATATGATATGTGTAAAGTCATCATTCCGGTGTAACATTTAACTAATTTACCAAAATCACGATATTTGAATCGAGAAAAGATGCTGTTATGAACAGAACGCAACAATTATTACGCAGAAAATATTTTTATTCGCGCGACTTCGTTCTTTACAGCATGTACTGCATAGCATACACAGTGTTTTAGCCAATCAAAATTCAAGAAATTTATTTGTGTTATAATAAAACATATTGTCTTTCAACTTTTTAAAGCAAAACTTTTTAGTCTTATTGAAGAAGAGAAACCTTGAAATGAATAAACGATTGCATTATGCCCCAGAAATGCTTTTATTTTTTATTTCTTAAAACATTTTATTGTTTCCATAAAGGCACTCATTGGCTAATTACTTTAACCATCTTTTTTAAATTCTTTTTTTAATCATCATAGATATAGTGATTAAGTATTTTGTATTAGAGTCAAAATACTACTTTCTTTACATTTTGCTACTTTTACGACATATAATTTCACATCTAGCACTAGTGTCTTCAGGTATCAAACATCTTACATGGCTCTAATACAATTATTGAAAAAATACAAAATTGATGGATGCTCTTTCTAAAGAAGTTAAAATTTATTTGTTTCTGAGGCATACTGTGCCTTTAAGACAAATAATTCTTCACCCGGTGCTACTTTCTTCAGTTGATACGCATCTAACATGCTCTAAAACCTAGGATAAACAATGTTATAAAACTCCATGTTTGCTTTTCTACAGAAGGAAGGGAGAAAAAAAAGTTTCTGAGGCATATTGTGCCTTCGAAATATTACAAACATCTGTATTGCATTAGCTGAACAATAGCGTAACATTATGTAATAATGATATACTGTATGAATGTATCACAGTAATATATATATATATATATATATATATATAATATATATATATATATATATATATATATATATATATATTATATATATATATATATATATATATACTTTTTTCCTAATTAGCTTTCGCACAAACGGAAATAAATCATTTATCCTTTAGTCTACAAAAACTAAGAAAATATAGCACAAACACATATGTAGCATCATTCATACACATTATATTTATTCTATTTAACATTTTATATTTAAACATAAATATAGAAACATAACACATAACAATCATTTTACTCTGAAATTATCCAGTTCATTACTATAATAATGAATCTGAAAAGGCTCAAAATACGAAATTCAGTAACAAGTATATCTAATAGTTTAATTAATTCAATTTATTCAAGTTGATTAGAGTGCAAAAATACACAAAAAATAAGAAACACTGTACAATTGAAATATTAATCTAACTAATTCAAAAATATGTCTTATTAAAGCTGAAATAAATATGATCGGGCGGGGGAGGTGGATCAAACTTCAAACTATACACTTAAATATCAACACAGCACGTATATTTCGTGCGAATAACAACGTGTAGAAACAAGCATAAATACATATAACATACAATATAGATTTAAATACCTTACCTCTACTGCATTCGCATGAGCAGACACAAAACCAGACGACAATCAGGCATCTTACAAACAATGACATAATTGTTCCTTTTTATTTATAGATTTAATTAACTGTATATTTCACACAATACCGGTAGCACACGCGCAAATTAATACGTCATAGTTTTACATATTTCTGCACTGTTGCCAAACATACGTGTTATACAGAGTAAATATTGATCACATATAAAAAGAGGTACTAGGCTGTACAATCCAAACTTACATACATAATGAAATTGGCCTACATCTGTTTTTTGACGCTGCACTAGAAATTTATCACTATGAACGTAAAATAGATCCTGAACGGTTACGTAAGCTATACCTGTGTTGTGTCAAAACTGAATAATAGAGATTGCACTGGTTCTTATAACATAATATAAGTAAGTAAGTAAATTCTTTATTATAGTGACATTTGTTATACGTATATACATACGCATAAATACACAAAGATGAACACCCGACCCGACCTGTAAGTCACCTTAACAAAAGATCATAATCTGAGCATGTGATATAACCTCATGGTCCTGCCGCGAATATAGAAAAATGTTCTTGAAGGTTGCCATCGAAAGTTTGTTCACATTTCTCGGTAAGATGCGCGTGTCCTGACTTCTTAGATGTGTTGCTTTTGTTTTTTCAAGGTTTACGGATTGACCAAAGAGGAACTTTTGTGTGCTATAATGGTATATATCTATTATAATTATTGTTTTGTTTGTTTTATTTATTGATCGTTTAACAGTCATTTTATGCAATGTCAGCACGTGTCATGCTTTTTGATACTACAATTCTAGTATTTTAGTATAAGTGACATATTTCACGATGAAATTCCTTATGTTAGAAATACGTAAAGATACTATAATATACCACGTTTTATTTAATTTCTATGCTAGAAAAACTATTTTTTTATATTTTTTTCGCACATAAAATGAGTAGGTTTATCACAGAGTACGTGTGTGATGCTCAACGAAAACTGTTTTCGTGGTGACGTTAATCAACGAAAACATATTTGATATTATCATATTAAAGGATCCTGACCATGCAGTCTGCCGTCATTGCTTCTCATTCGAAAGCGTGATTTCAAGGAGAAATACGTCACGGAGCTTATGAACACCCAGATGACTACCTTTCCTACATGATTGAGTCAGAAAGTGCCGTAAAATCAAAGAATGTAAAAACATTTAAAGTATTTGCCCGAGATGTTGCTACGAAGACGACGCATTGACGTTTGTAAACATTTACTTACTGTGTTCGCCCTCTGACATATTTCGTTTTCGTTTAGGAACATGCACAAAAATACACAATTCGAAGCTTTGCTTTATTCGGAAAACGCAGCAGCTCATCTATAAAACATAAACTATACAAGTACGATTTTATTGAAACGGTCTTTTCAATAACAAAGCCCTGTTGTAACCTCAGGGAATACAGTCAAGATGACCACACTCACGGTGATAAGCCTTTTAGAATTTCTTAAAGAAAGCAAGCCTCTGTTTAGCCCCTAAAAATAAAGTTAAGCTGACCAAACCCTTGGTGATAGGCATTTTTAGATGTTCTTAACCTGAAATCAACTCCGGTTGTAACCTTAAGGAATACCGTCAAACTGAAAAAATCTACGGCGATAGGCCTTTTTAGTAGTCTCTTGTCTCAGAGAATACACTCAATCTGACCAATCCGACGGTGATATGCCTTTTTTGATAGTTCTTAACCGAAAACTAAACCCGGTTCTAGCTTCTGGAATACAATCAAACTGAAAAAATCTACGGCGATAGGACTTTTCTTAGTTTTTCTTAGCGGAAAAACCAAAAAACCTATGAAGCCCCAGGGAATACAGTCAATCTGATCAAAACCACGGTGATAGTCATATTATGTGATTCTTAAATGAAAACCAAGAACCTTTCGAGCCTCATGGAATACAGTCAAGCTGACCAAACCCACGTTTATAGGTTTTGTTAGTACATCTAAACGGAAAACCAAGCCCAGTTCTAGCCTCAGGGAATATAGTCAAGCTGACCAAACTCACGGTGAAAGGCCTTTTTAGTAGTTCTTAACGGAAAATCAAGAACCTTTCTAGGCTAATGAAATACAGTCAAGCTGACCAACCAATGGTGATATGCCTTTTTAGTAGTTCTTAGCGGAAAACAAAGCCCACTTCTCGTCTCAGGAAATACAGTCAAGATGACATTACCTACGGTGATATGCGTTAATAGTAGTTCTAAACGGAAAACCAAGCACCTTTCTTTCCTTAAGGAATACAATCAAGCTGACCTAACCCAAGGTGACAGGCTATTTAAGTAGCTCTGAACGGAAAACCAAGAACCTTTCTAGCCTTTTGGAATACAGGCAAGTTGACAAAACCTACTGTGCTAGGCCTTTTTAGTAGGTCTTAACCGAAAACCCAGCCCGGTTGGAGCCTCAAGGAATACAGTCCAGCTGACCAGACGCACGGGAATAGGCCTTTTCAGTAGTTCTAAACGGAAAAATCAGAACCTTTCAAGCGTCAGGAAATACAATTAAGCTTACCGAAGCCACGGCGTTTTTTAATCGAAAACCAAGTCCAATTTTCATGGAAACAATCAAGCTGACCAAACCCACGGTCATAGATCTTTTCAGTAGCTCCTTACGGAAAACAAAGTCCTGTTCTAGCTTCAGGGAAAACAGTCAAGCTGACCAAACCCACGTGATATGCCTAAATAGTAGTTCTTAACGGAAAACGAAACACCTTTTTGCCTTAGGGAAAAAATTAAACTTGACCTAACCCAAGGTGAGGGGCTATTTTAGTAGTTTTTCGCGGAAAACCAAGAACCTTTCTTGGCTCATGCAATACAGTCAAGCTGACCAACCCATGATGATAAGCCTTTTTATTACTTCTTGACGGAAAACAAAGCCCGGTTCTAACATCCGGGAATAAAGTCAAGATGACCACACCCACGACGATAAGCCTTTTTAGAAATTCCTGTAAGAACGAGCTCTCTCAAACGCGTTTTATGCCACACACACCCGCACTGATTGAAATTAATATGAAGTTGGAAGACCACTGTTCGAAGAAATGTTTTTTGTTTTTTATTACGAATATTTATACAGTAAAAACTCTGAAAACGTCACATTTTTAGTGGCTATGTCACATGTATAATGATTACGTCACATGTCTAAATATAGAACGTCAAACAGTGATGTTATAGCATATTAACACACACTTTCTGTTCTTCTATGTTCAATAGGGAAAAATGCGGGTCGTGTTAGAATGTAGATTAAAACGTAATTCCAACAGGTGACATGTTACCAGTTAATGATCTCCTTTTTTATCTATGCAGGTAAGAAAACCTTTGTCTGCAGTGTGTGTTAATTTCTTATTGGAAATTAAATTATAGCTCTTTTATTATAACTGTGCCTTCCCCTGTATAGGTATATTTTTTCTAAATGTTTTTAATTTGTTGTGTTGTTATTTTTTTTTTAATATAAAATGTCTAAAAGAATTTATAAAGTTTTGTAAAATGATTCCTGTTTTGCTTAAAATTTTGATCTTTGTTTGGATTATTTGCAAACATAGTGATACTAAATTCCATTAATTACATAATACATATTTCAAAAGCCAATTAAAAAGATGTATTACAGACAGTGTATAGTTTTAATTTCTGACTTATATTCATTGATTTGAATATAAAAATACATTTATTGCTAAAAGAAATTAAAATATGACTCGGACAAAAGTGTTAAAAGGTAAATAAAATATGATTGAACAAAGTCAAAGTTCAAACAAATCATAATTTTCAATAAATGTATAAAACCTCTAAAAACCGGAATCCTCTGAAAACCGGACTTTTGGTCAAGTCAGAACAGGGTCCGGTTTTCAGAGTTTTTACTGTAATATGTCCAGGATATTTCCGCGTGGCTTGGTCATTTTTTGCACCGGCGATTTGTTCTTTCTCTATGTAAATTTCGGGAAAAAACATCATATTCACGAGCCTACCATTCAAAAACCATTTGATCAATTCCGTTGCAAATTTGATTTTGTACAACTTGAGAGGGTTCTCTTTGCACATGAAAAGGCCCAAAGCCCTAACCCAAGGAACATGTCCAGGAGATTTCCGCATGGCTAGGTCATTTTCCAGCGATATGCTTTTTCTGTATATAAATTTCGGAAAAAAACATCAATTTTACGAGCCTACCATTCAAAAGTAATTTGACCAATTCCAATGCAAATTCAATTTTGTACAACTTGAGAGGGTCTTCTTTGCACATGAAAAGGCCTAAAGCCCTAACCCAAGTAATATGTCCAGGATATTTCCGCGTGGCTTGGTCATTTTTGCACCGGCGATTTGTTCTTTCTCTATGTAAATTTCGGGAAAACATCATATTCACGAGCCTACCATTCAAAAACCATTTGATCAATTCCGTTGCAAATTTGATTTTGTACAACTTGAGAGGGCTTTCTTTGCACATGAAAAGGCCCAAAGCCCTAACCCAAGGAACATGTCCAGGAGATTTCCGCATGGCTGGGTCATTTTCCAGCGATATGCTTTTTCTGTATATAAATCTCGGGAAAAAAACATCAATTTTACGAGCCTACCATTCAAAAGTTATTTGATCAAATCCAATGCAAATTCGATTTTGTACAACTTGAAGGAGTCTTATTTGCACATGAAAATGCCTAAAGCCCTTACCAAAGTAATATGTCCAGGATATTTCCGCATGGCTTGGTCAAGTTCTGCGTCGGCGATTTGTTCTTTCTCTATGTAAATTTCGGGGAAAAACATCATATTCACGAGCCTACCATTTAAAAACCATTTGATCAATTCCGTTGCAAATTTGATTTTGTACAACTTGAGAGGATGGTCTTCTTTGGAAATCTCATGGACATATTACTTAGGTTAGGGCTAAAGGCCTATTCATGTGCAAAGAAAACCCTCTCAAGTTGTACAAAATTGAATTTGCATTGGAATTGGTCAAATGGTTTTTGAACGGTACGCTCGTAAAATTGATTTTTTTTCCGAAATTTATATACAGAAAAAGCAAATCGCTGGCAAATGACCTAGCCATGCGGAGATCTCATGGACTTGTGCCTTGGGTTAGAGCTTTAAGCATTATCATGTGCAAAGAAGACCCTCTCAAGATGTACAAAATCAAATATGCAACGGAATTGATCAAATGGTTTTTGAATGGTAGGCTCGTTAATATGATATTTCTACCTGAAATT